ACAGTATCAGAGAGTGCCTGGCATTAGAGAGTGGGGCGGTATGACAGTTGGTGTGACCACAATTAAAAGCTTACCTCCTTGATTCAGTTTTTTCCTAGGTATCTTATTCTTTTTGATAGAATTGTAAATGGATGTTCTTAATTTCCCTTTCTGATAGTTTATTACTAGTATATTAAAACTTAGCAGATTTTTGTATATTGATTTTGTGTTCCGCAATTTTACTGAATTTGTTGGGGTTTTTTTTTTTTTTGTAACTTTTGTTTTATTGTAATTGTAATACCTGATTTTTTTTTTTTAAGGAAATGCATTTTTTTTTTTAAAGAATCATTTATTTACACAAGAACTGGGGTATAGTTGGAAAGCAAGAGGATTCACCAGAGAAAAAGTGGGGAACAGAACAGGCAGACTGACTGAAACACACTAAGGGGAGCAGCGGGTGAAACAGGAGAGGTCTGCCTTGCCATGTGGGTATCTCCAAGGCCAGCCAGGATTGAACCCGTGCTGCAGAGGCTGTGGACAGCTTCACAGTGCTGCGGTCAACTGCCTGTGCCACCAGGGAGGCCCTGATATATTTTTTAAAAAAATGCTCCCAGCTATCTTATAGTATCTTCAAAGACTAAGGTTATTTAAACATTTTGGTATCATTCACAATCTCATAGCAGCTTGAGTCTAGGTGCTCAATTAACATTTTGGGATGATTTTGGGTGACAATATTAAATGGCTAAGTCCCTGAGTTAAAGTAATTTTATAGGGGCCTCCCTGGTTTGCACAAGGGGTTAAGTGTCAGCACGATGAAGCAATCCGCAGCTACTGCAGAATGAGTTCGATCCCCAGCCAGGAAGGTGACCCACATGGTGCGGCAGACCTCTCCTGTCTCTCCCACTGCTACTCTCAGCAGTGTATTTCAGTCAGTCTGCCTGTTCTGCTCCCCACTCTGTTTCTGGCCTACACCGCAGCTCTTGTATGCCTAAATAAATAAATCTTTTTTAAAAAGTAAATTGATAAGTCATTCTATATAGTGATTATGAAAAAGTAAGTTCCTCTTCTTAGATAATAGAATTTATATATTAGAGAAGGAACAAAGCAGCAACTAGCATAAATTCTACACCTTTTTTAAATTAAGATAACACTGGTTTATAGCATCCCTATAAACTATATTATCAGTACCACTGAAAGTGCCATTCCAGCATACAGTTGAGTCCCTTTACCCATTTTACCTCTTATCCCTCTTCCTGTCTGGTAAATATCAGTCTATTGTCAGAATCTAAGAGTTTGTTTTGTTCCTTTGCTTTATTTCTTTGTTTTCCACATATGACTGAAATCTTACAGATTTTGTCTTTTGTCTATCTGATTTATTTTACTTAGCACAATCTCATCAGCATCCATCCATGTTGTTGCAAATGGCAAGATACCATTTTTTTTAAATGGCTGAGTAGTAATCCATTGTGTATAGTCATGTGTTGCTTAACAGCTTTTGGCCAGTGGTGGGCTGCATATAGGATGATGGTCTCAATAGGCTGTACTGTACAGTCTAGGTGCGTAGTAGGTTATACCATCTAGGTTTTTGTATTCACCCTCTATGACATTTACACAATGAAGAAATTGGCAATGAAACATTTCTCAGAACATATCCCTTTGTTAAGTGACATATGACTGTGTGTGTGTACCACATCTTCTTTATACATTCTTCCATCGGTGGGTAGTTAGGTTGTTTCCATATCTTGACTATTGTGAATAATGCTGCAGTGAACATCAGGGTGCATATGTCTTCTTTTCTTTTTTGTGGTTTATTTATTTTATACAAGCACTGGGTACAGTCAGAAGCGCAGGAGGGTGAGAGAATTCACCAGAGCCAGAGCGGGGAAAAGAACAGGCAGATTAACGAAATACACTGCTGAGGGGAACAGCGGGCGAGACAGGAGAGGTCTGTCGCGCCATGTGGGACCCTCGCTGGCAGCCGGGGATCGAACCGCCGCTGCAGAGGCTGCGGGCAGCTTCCAGCCCAGCGCTCAACCGCTGCGCCACCAGGGGAGGCCCCATATGTCTTCTTAAATTAGTGTTTTGATATTCTTCAGATAAATATCCAGCAGTTGAGTAGCTAGATCATATAATTTTTCTATTCTTACTTTTTTGAGACCTCTCCATTCTTTTTCCCATAGTAGTCTGCACCAATTTACAGTCCCACCAGCAGTATACAGGGTTTCCTTTTCTCCATACCCTTACTAACACTTGTTTCTTGTCTTTTTGAGAATAGTCATTTGAACTGGTGTGAGGGGATATGTCATTATGGATTTGATTTTTATTTCCCTGAGGATTTGTGATGTGGAGTAACTTTTCATGTATCTGTTAGCCATCTGTATGTCTTCTTTAGTATAATGTCTATTTAGAGTCTGCCCACTTTTTAATACAGCTGTTTGTTTTGTTGTTGAAATAGGTGTGTGATATATATAATAGATATGTATGTTTTTAATCTCTTGTTAGAGAAATGATTTGCAAATATCTTTCCCACTTAGTAAGCTGCTTTTCATTTTGGTTTCTTTGGCCATACAAAAGCTTTCTAGGGCCTCCCCCGTGGCGCAGCGGTTAAGCGCTGGGTTGAGAAGCTGCCCGCAGCCTCTGCAGCGCCGGTTCGATCCCCGATCCCCGGCTGCTCCCCGGCCACGGGAGGAGGGTCCCACATGGCGCGCAGACCTCTCCTGCCGCCCGCTGCTCCCCTCAGCAGTGTACTTCGGTCCTTCTGCCTGCTCTGCTCCCTGCTCTGGCTCTGGTGAATTCTCTCACCCTCCCGTGCTTCTGACTGTACCCAGTGCTTGTATGTATAAGTAAATAAATAAATCAAAAAAATAAAATAAAAAATAAATTGAAAAATGTTTAAAAAAAAAAAAAAAAACAAAAGCTTTCTAGTTTGTTGATGACCCAGTTGTTTATTGTTTTTGCGCAACCCACTTTCTTAATCTATAAAGTCAGGAGTTTGAGTAGGCAATTTCTAATGCCCTGGCAAGTTATAGAATTTGGTTAATATGAAAGTTTTATTACTTTTTAGATTTTTTTTTTGGTGTGCTTGCAGTATGTATTGATAAGTTAGGAAATTCTGTGTTAAACACTTGTTAATCAGCACATTTCTATAAGTGAGAAATCTTCAAATATAATGTTATTAGTGTAATCTTTAGAGAGGTAAACTAAAAGAGCTTAGCCATGAGCCTTGATTTAATTGAATATGAAAAATGAGTCAATCAAAAAAAGCAGTAAGAATCTTTAAATGTATCACAAGTGTGTCCAGGACAGTAAAGTAAATGTATAAATATAGATATGGAAAATATTGTACACATATATAAAGAGAATGAGATAGACATTCAATGTAAATGAATTTTCAGGTAACTGAATTTTATCCCTCAAATGTAGCATTTTTCTTTCCACATTCAACCTCACCTTCCCAGCTCATAGCCACTACGGTTTTTAAAATAACAATTTTTATTTTCAAACTTAAAGTTTTCTTGTCATTTTAGAATAGTTTATCTTTTCTTCTGGAGTTTGCTTTTACTGACTTTTTTCTCAGTATACCTGCTTTCTTTCTTTTTTTTTTAAAAGATTTATTTATTTATTTATACAAGAACTGGGGTACAGGCCAGATTCGTGGGAGGGTGAGAGGACTCACCAGAGACAGAGAGGGGAACAGAACAGGCAGACTGAAGAAATACACTGCTGAGGAGAGCAGCGAGTGCGACAGGAGAGGTCTGCCGCACCATGTGGGAAAATGATTTGCATTTTCCCGCCGGCTGGCTGGGATCGAACCCGTGCTGGCTGGGATCGAACCCGTGCTGCAGAGGCTGCAGACAGCTTCACAGAGCTGTGCTCAACCACCTGTGCCACCAGGGGAGGCCCTCAGTATACCTGCTTTTTAACAGTTTGATTCACTGCAACTTTGAGAGATCATATAACTGAATTTGTGAGAATATTATACAAATCGAGAATCCTAAGTGCTGAAGGGTAGCTTGAGGGTGCGCCCTACAAAATACAAGTCATAAATCTGAATGGAGTTTGGGGCCTATTTGTGTATTTTTATTTCTTGGCTATACTCTGGATGATGTTCTGAATAATTGCAATATATTAGGCTTGTAAAATGCATTATCTAATATTTTCAATAAATATTCTAATTAAGGCAAACAAGAAATAAAGAATAATATAATACTTAATCTACCCACCATTTAGTTTAAGAATTAAATTGTTAACAATGCAGTTGAGTAGTTCAGTGCTTATGAATGTGCTCTTCTAGGCATTTTACATACACACGCACATATATATATATATATATATATATATGTATGTATGTATGTATGTATTTAGCAGTCAACAAAACAAAACTCCTTATCCTGGTGGAGTTTACAGTCTAGGAGGGACCATCCTATTGTCTTATAATTGTCATTACTCCTGTTCTGAGCATTTCCTGTTTTGTTTTTTTTCCCCCAGTGATGAATTGAATGATATGTGGTCATGAATGTAGGCATTTAGAACTAAATACAAGTAAAGAATGAAGAGGCACTGACTGGCGGCATCAAGGATGTTCTCTCAGCGCATTTGTCTTGGTGGGCTTTGTGCACATGAAGCCGTTCAGCTGCTCATATTTGCTTTCAGTGCCTAGTCAGGGTTAGCCTATTGTTGGTGGCCTTTGGTCCATTAGGTTCACAAGAGGAAAACGTCACCTCAAATGATGTTCTTCTGTGTCTGTGTAATACATAATTGGAGGAAATAAAAGTTTTTTTTTTTGTGATGGGCTTGAAAGATTGTGATACACTATAAGGAAACTAGAAGTGGTATTTTAGAATTACAGATTTAGTGTTTCTTGTTACTAAAAAACACAAATCTGTGATGTCCTATAAAGAAAACCACAAACTAGAATACTGTGAAAGAAACCAGAGTAAATAGAAATGAATAAACATCAAAGTTAGCATTAAAATACACATAGTGTCCTCTGAACATGATTTTTATTTGATATTATTTAGGTATCGTCAGATCCTGGAAAAAGCCATTCAGTTATCTGGGGCAGAACAACTAGAAGCCTTGAAAGCTTTTGTGGAAGCAAGTAAGTGGAATGAAAACTCCATGTTTGCTTAGTATTACTATGTTGGCAACTTAAATCTTGCTCTAGCCTTGTTTTATAACAAATTATTGATATAATCTGCATTGATATGAAATTAATTGTGCATTGAGTTTTTTTAGAATTTAAACTTTACAACCTGAATATTTTTCAATGAATTGAAATTATTTACATTCCTAAATAAGTTTTTGTTTAGTTATTGATGCAGTAACTAATAAAAGACAACAAAGCACAATAATAGAATATTCCGGATTCAAATCTAGTCTGCTATTTTATTACTAGCTGTGTGATCTTGGTAAGTTGCTTAGCCCCTTTGTGCCTCCTTTCTTTGTCTATAAAATGGGGCTATGATACAAACTTTGTAGAATTACTGGGATAGTAAATGAGTTAATGCTTATAAGTGTTAGCTATTATTAATGTTAGCTATTATTAATGTTAAAAACATTACTTTTGAATGGAATCTGGAAATAGACTTTTTCAAGCCACTCTCCCCATCTTCTTGATTTCGGCGTATCCATTTATTTTGAAAATTACTCAGAATTCAGGCTGGAATTTATAATGAGTTAATAGTATTAATGATACTTGATAGTGCTTTATAGTTTATAATATGCTTTCACACATATTACCCATTGCACAGGTGTCTTTTAATAGCCTGTGACTAGAACAATATAGGTGTAGATAGACCTGTAAAGTATACTGTAAAATGAGTGTCTGGATGAAGTTACTTTTTTTTTTTTCTAGGGCATTTAGTCAGTGGAAGAGCCCATAGTAGAAACTAGATTTTCTGATTGATAGTACTTATTTACTTTTATTTCCCTGTGGAGTGCTTGTTTGTGTAGCAATTTCTTTCTAACAGTTTTAAGGGTGTAAAGGCACTTATAATGAGACTTTTAACAATCACAACTAGTTTTCTCTAATAATGAATTCCAGTTAATGTAAACTGGTTAGTTGCAAGACTTGTAAGTTACTATCTTAAAAAATCCGAGTCTGCAATGTGAGGTGAACTGGCAGTGGTTTCAGAAAAACTGTTAGAAGAGACTTTATTGACAGCATTGTATATAATAGCAAAAGAATAATGCTTTTCATACACTTTGATCTTCATATAAACTTTCAATCCAGGGAAATACCATGAAAAGTGTTTAAAATAACTTATGTCACTGAACTATTTTTAACCATCATTTATTTTCCCGTAACTGCTGATTTAACACTTGTCTAAGCAGCTGTTCACAGCATGATGCATTTTTTAAATTCAATAATAGTGATGATAAAAACTGACATTTGTTGTATACTATGTACCAGATATCATTTAAAGCTCTTTATATATATTGCATTTAAGCTTCACAACAATCTTATCCACGTTTTACTGAAACAGAAGCATAGAGAAATTAAGTTTGTTGTCAGAGGGCATTTAATTGGGAGTGATGGCAATAGTGTGATGCAGGAGTTTTTGTCCTTAATCACATGTATTAATACCTCACAAATGTTTCTAAATAATGTTATATATTTGTCCACATGGTGCTTTGTTGTTTTTATAGGGAAAGTAAAAGTGGTGGTAACTGTCACTATTTGATATAATTTTCATGAAAATTATTTTACTATTTCTTCTTTAACTTTTTTTTGTAGCTGGTGGGATATAAGTACATAAAAAATAGAGGTGTTTATGTGCCTTCCTTTGTAGAAAAATAAGGAAAAGAATGTTTAAACAAAAATTTCCATCCATTTCTATTTCTTAGAAAAGTTAGGGTATTTTTCCTGTTTTAGTGTAGGCATTATGTAATTATTCAGCAAAAGGAAAAATGATTCTATAATATAAGATGGTATGCTATGGGAATTTCTGAATAATGCATTGAAGGTTGTGCTAATATACATTGTTTTGGTATTAATTTAGGTAAAGATTGATTGCTTAATGGAAATTTTTTTAGTTGCTCATTTTTCTTATCTCTTCATTTTTTTAACAAGTGGTAAATGAGAATGTCAGCCTCGTGATCTCTCGACAGTTGCTGACTGATTTCTGCACACATCTCCCTAACCTGCCTGATAGCACAGCCAAAGAAATCTATCATTTCACCTTGGAAAAGATCCAGCCTAGAGTCATTTCATTTGAGGAGCAGGTAAACATCTAGAGCAGTGAGTTTTGAATTTAAGATAGCATCAGTTATTTGAGAGAGATTATGTTTTAAAGGACATAATCATTCAATCTCAATTTTGATAAAAGTGTGCCAACCATCATTTTACAATGTAAAATCCAGTATTAGGATGTTATATCTAGCTGGTATTTGCTTATGCATTAAAATTCGATTTATGGACCAGAATTGCTCTTTAGATAACTTCAGAACCAGTAAAATTAGGCTGAAAACATAGAAAAACTCTAACTTATATATGCACTAACATAAAAGCAGAATTTAATATTTAAATTATTTTATCACTATAATTTCACACTGCAGAATGTGTTATTTCAAGTCAGTACAAGGATATTCTGTAAATGTAATATTCATAGAAAAATTTGAGCAGTCTAGATAAATTTGTGCTGTCTACATGTCAGCTTAATATACTGAACGAAAGTGCTGTCACATCTATTTTAATTAGTTACTAATGTCAGTTGAAATGATTTGATGTGTACCTGCTATTTCAGGTTGCTTCCATAAGACAGCATCTTGCATCCATATATGAGAAGGAAGAAGATTGGAGAAATGCAGCCCAAGTGTTGGTGGGAATTCCTTTGGAAACAGGACAAAAGTATAGTAAATAGTGGATATTGGATGGAGATATATATATATGGATATATACATGTAATATGTAAAATTTTCCATCTTTTTCCCTTATATTCTAATGCAGAAAAATGTAATTAAACATTTTAATAAATTTTTTAGTATGTTAGAAGATGACTAATTCCATAGAGGAAAAAAGTAAGAGGCAAAGTGGGGGGATAGGTTATGTCATTAAACAGGGTGATTGGAGTGTTGGGTGGTCTTGATAACACCGTCTCAAATTCTTGAGGGAGGTAAGAGAGTGGCTATGAACTAACTGAGGGAAGTGTATCAGTAGATCCTCTTAGAGAGGTTGTCTAGTATAAAGGACCTATGATTGGAGCATGCTTGGAGTGTTTTTTTTGTTTTTTTTTTTTTTTATAGAGGCATGTTTTTATTTATTTATTTATTATATTTGTTTGTTTTGTTTATACATGCACTGGGTACAGTCAGAAGCGCAGGAGGGTGAGAGAATTCACCAGAGCCAGAGCGGGGAGCAGAGCAGGCAGAAGGGCTGAAGTACACTGCTGAGGGGAGCAGCGGGTGGCAGGAGAGGTCTGCGCACCATGTGGGATCCTCCTCCGGTGGCCGGGGAGCAGCCGGGGATCGAACCGGCGCCGCAGAGGCCGCGGGCAGCTTCGCAACCCAGCGCTCAACCGCTGCGCCACCGGGGAGGCCCATGCTTGGAGTGTTTTTAAGAAGAGCAAGGAGACCCAGTTTGGGGGTGGAGGGGATGAGCAAAGGGTAGATATAGGGACTGAGATCAGAGCCCTGGAGACCAGATTATATGAGGTTTTGTAAGCCATTTTAAGGCCTTTGACTTTTTGCTTTTAAGTGAAATCCATTGGAGAAATTTGTACAGAAGAGGGTTGTGTCCTGATTTATATTTTAAAGAATCATTCTGACTACTGGGTTGAATAAACTATAGGCAAGCAATGATAGAAGTTGGGGTATCTGTTAGGAGACATACGCATTACTGCAGATGAGATGGAAATAGCGAGCAATGTTAGAGTCTAGATCTGTTTTTAAGAGCTAAGGGTTTTCTGACAACATGGATATGGAATGTGAGAAAGAGCCGATGTAAGTCCTGATTTTTGATCTAGATAATTGGAAAGATGAAGTTGCCATCTATTGAGTGGTGCAAAACAGGTTTAGAAGGAAGAGCAAGAGTTCCATTTTGGATACATGATAATCAAGTGGAAATATGTAGAAGGGAGTTGAAATGTATTAGTCTGTAGTTTAGGGGAGAGGTCTGGGATAGAGATATACATACATTTGGGGGTCATTGATACAGAGATGGAATTTAAGGTCATTGGATTGGATGAGATCCCCAAGGGAAGGTATATAAGTACAGGAAAGGGCTGAAAGCTGACTGCAAACTGAGCCTTGGGACATACCAACATTAAGAGGTCAAGGGGAGGAGGAGATATAGCAAGTGAGTAGGACTGTCCATTGAGGTAAGAAGAAAACCAGAAGAGTATGGAGTGTGGTCACCTAGAAGCCACATGAAGAAAATTTATCAGAAAGTAATGTGATCAGCTCTCTTGTTGATAGGTCAGTAATATGAAGAATGAGGGTTAACCACTGAAATTAGTAATGTGGAAGTCACTAGGGACCTGAACAAAAACAGGTTAGGTGAAATGGTAAGAACGAAAGCTCAGTTGGAGTGGTTTAAGAGAGAATGGGAAGAGAATTAGAGATGGGAACTCTGGGAAAGTTTTCACAAAAGGAAATGGAGAAATGGGATAGAAGGTGACAGCAGAGTTTAGGTTAAGAGATAATTTTTTCTTTGATGTTCCAGTGGAAAGCAAAAATTTGATACAGGAATATGGGAGAGAGGATTCTTACAGCAATACACAACATGGAAAGGAATCTGTTGGAGGAAGGGCATAAACAGTTCATTTATGGCAATTTCTCAGCCTTTGCACTGTGCATTTTAGATTAGATAATTCTTACTGTGTTGTAAGATGTTCAGTAGTGTACCAGGCTTCTACTCACCAGATGCCAATAGCATTACTGCCCCCAGTTGTGACAATCAAAAATGTGTGTAGATACTGCCACCTGTTCCCTGATGGGCAAAATAGCTCCTCAGTGATCTAAAGTAACTGCCTATAACATAGAATATGTAGGTAGCTGTTAGAAATGTGGTAGAGTTTGTGCAAGAACTCTGATTTCTTCAATATCTTCAGTGAAGTAAGAATCAGTCATCAGCTGAAAGTGTGGATGGGGGTGGGCATTGTGTTGTTGAGGAAAGACAAATACGAGAAAAAAAATTCCCTATGAGAGTGAGGCAGTGAATGCACTGGGGAAGTAGAAGATCCTTGGCAGCATTTAGGACTTATTTGAAGGTCAGAGGGGATAAAATGAGATTAATCAGATTAGTTGGGTGTTTTTTCCATCAGAGTTCAACAGCATGGGTGCAGGAAAGGCACTGGCGAAATGTTTAACCCAAGTTACGATTTTGTCCAAGTATGACAAGAGATGGACAAAAGATATGGGTATATAGACAAAGCCATGATTATAATGATTTACCATTTGAGTTAAGGTAGGTAGGGAGGGAAATGAGGCTTTTCAGGTGAAAGACAGTAACAGTGAATTAGGATTAGTGGTTGGAAATTCACAGTGGGTTCAGTGAATTGTCGAGTTTGGACAATACTGGAGAAAATGAGATGGAAAAACGGAAGAAATTAAAGTTTGTAGCTCTTTCTGAACCAATATTACCACTTACATATTTTTAAAAACATTTATAGTTCACTATAAAACAATACTTCAAAGTATTGTGTGACAAGGATGAAAGGTGTGAGACTCTTGGTATATTATTAAATATACCTTCCGCTTCAATTGACAGGTATAAAAATACCAGCTATGAATGACTTAAAAATATTTCCACTGCCTTTTTACTCTTTTACCAAATGATGCATTTTTTTTTTTTTGTTCTCATTAATGTTTGTGTTGATAAAGGTAGAAACTATTCCAAGCATCTTGCCTTTTGTATATTATTTGTGAAAATCTTAGGGAGTGATACTCCTTAAAATAGCAGTTTGTGAAAAAAACCTTTATGGGTATATGCTGAATTTTGCTTTCCAAAGCTACTTGTTGATTTGCTTTTTTTCATTGATAGTTTGAAAAGGCTGTTTTGGCCTTATTCTGTAGGAGCATTTTCTTCTTAGCACAGAAAAATATGTTTATTTTCACTGGTAGTTGAAATAAATATAAAATTAGATATCATTTTTTGCAGTGGTTTTAATGATTTTGATAGTTGTAGAGCCCTATCTTTATCTGTGAGTCTACCAAAGAAAAAAAAATTTAATGGTTTCTGAGGCAAGTGAAAGTAAAAGTGATTAAAAATTTGAATAAATGATTGAGAACTTTTTTGTTAAAAAGTGATTCATTCTGATTATGAAAAATTATAGATTTAACGGATACAGTTAACATAATTGAAAAACTCAGTGTTATATGTAGCAATTCATGTAAGTTTGAGTTGTAAATAGAAATAGTGTAGTACAAAATACTATCATTGTGTGACATAAAAATAAAATATAGGAAAATTTGAATTTAGTATAAAAGATTTAAAAAGTAACATTAATTTCAAAGCTGGGGCCAAGTGAATTGTGAAACTTTCTGTTCTTGCCAGATGGTGGCACCATTTTTGCTGATAAGAGATTTGGTTTTCTGTAAGGATTAATCTTGAATTATTTGAGGTTATCTGAGGTTATGCATTTCTTGCTAATGCAAGAATTTTGCTTTCCAAAAATGTAACCACTGGGATAAATAAGAAAATTTAAAAAACCTGTATCTTACTCAACAGAGATAATTGCTATTAACATCTTAATGTATGTGATAAAAACATGTTTTAATGGTGTTTTACACTGTTTTAGCCTTTTTACTTAACAAAAATATATGACTATTGTCATATGGTAATGATTATCATAACTACATTCTACCATCTTTATGTACCACAACTTAATTATAAATACATTAGGTGATTTCTAATTTTTTCCTATTACAGATATTTATGAATAACTTTATAAATGAATATTACTTGTGCTTACAGTCGTGTGCATGTCCCTAATTATTTTGTTAGGATTTTTGTCATAGGTGTAAAATATAGTAGGTTAGTAGTATATATATATATATATATATATATATATATATTTAAAAGGATTAAAGGGATAGTTGGAGAACATATTGCCAAAGTGTCTTCTAGAGTGGTTGTATATTCCTAACAGTAGTGCAGAAGTCATTTTATCCATAGCTTCACTTTCTGTGGTTTCACTCACCTGTGGTCAATGATGAAAATATTAAGTGCAATAATATATTTTGAGAGAGAGACCATAGTCACATAACTTTTATACAACATATTTTTATAGTTGTTCTATTTTATTATTGTTGTTAGCCTCTGTAGCTAATTTGTAAATTAAGCATATCACAGGTACATATGTGTAGGAAAAGAGATATAGGGTTGTTTACTATTTACAATTCCAGGTGTCTATTAGGGGTCTAAGGACATATACCCTGTGGATAAGCAGCATCTATTTGAGGATTAAAGAAAGCTAAAATACAATGTGAGCAATGCTAATAAAAATAAAAAATCAGTAAAATTCAGTTTGGATTTTTTTTTAGTTTTTCTATAATGTAATGCAGTAAAATGTTTGATTGTTTGATTCCCTTCTATTAATGGAATATATAAGGGAAAAAATTCATTTTATACTACTCTTAAGCATTTTCATGATAAATATTTAGATATTCTTTGTTTTTCTCTGTTATATCGTAGGCAGTATAATGTAGATTATAAACTGGAGACTTACTTGAAAATTGCTAGGCTATATCTGGAGGATGATGATCCAGTCCAGGCAGAGGCTTACATAAACCGAGCATCTTTGCTTCAAAATGAATCAACCAATGAACAGTTACAGATACATTATAAGGTAACATATGAGACAATTGGGTATTAATTTGGGAGAACTCAGCTTTACTAAGATGCTCCAGAACATCTGTTGCAGAACATCTGTTATATATACTAGAAATTCTCTTTAATTTTTTGCTTTTGCTTTTTAATTTTTCTCCTTAATTGAAACATTTTCCTGTTGTAGGTATGCTATGCACGAGTTCTTGATTATAGAAGAAAATTCATTGAAGCCGCACAAAGGTACAATGAACTCTCTTACAAGACAATAGTGCATGAAAGTGAAAGACTAGAGGCCTTAAAACATGCTTTGCACTGTACCATCTTAGCATCAGCAGGTAAACACATAATTTATGTCTTCATGAATAGTTAATTATCTTTGCTTAATAATTTTGGTTCATTACTATTGGAGGATTTGGCTAGGAACTATTCTTCTAGGGGATGTCTTACTACTACAACAATGGTAAATTAGCCTAAACTTTTTTTTTTAAAGATTTATTTATTCATGCATACAAGAACCTGTATGCATACATGCATACAAGAACCTGTATGCATACATGCATACAAGAACCTGTATGCATACATGCATACAGGCCAGTTATGCGGGAGGGTGAGAGGATTCACCAGACAGAGCGGGGAACAGAACAGGCAGACTGACGAAATACACTGCTGAGGGGAGCAGCGGGCGAGACAGGAGAGGTCTCCCACGCCATGTGGGACTCTCGCAGGCGCGCCAGGATTGAACCCACGCTGCAGAGGCTGTGGACAGCTTCACAGCTCTGCGCTCACCATCTGTGCCACCAGGGGAGGCCCTAGCCTAAATTATTAAAGTCAAAAACAGCAGTGCAAATGAATCGCTAGCTTAAATGTTAAATATGCATGTATCAGTCTGTTATCCACATGTATAGGAATGGTTAAAAGATACAATATGAAGCTTTTTGTTCTCCTAAAAGTCACTGAAAAAAAATGGATATCAAGTGAGAAATTCATAAAGGTGAATGAAAACAATCTAGTGACTGGTGATATGACTATGTAATGCTTTCCACTTTTTTTTTTTTAGCTTTCAATCCTTAGTTTTAAACTTGGTATCATATTTTTCTTCTATACATATGAAAAATAAACTGCTTTTTACTTTTTTTGCTAAGTTATAGAATGTAATTCAATTTGCAGAACACAAACTGCTTTGTGAGGAAATGCTGATGTTCCAAAGTGTGACTTTTCTAAATCATTTAGATTGTTTATTTTTGAACTTTGTTTAGTTGAGAACTTAATGACATATTTAACTATACTTTTCATTCTTTTTGAAGCAATGATCTTATTTATTCTGTTTTTGTTATTGAAAAAGCAGTGCATAAAGTGGTATTGCTTCTAGTTCTAAAGAACTATTGCTGCTTACTTGGATTTCCTTTGATACAAAAGTATATTTGTGCATATAACCTGTTTTTAGTACACAAATGGTAGCGTGATATGTACACTTTAACAGCTTGATTTTTTCCATATATTTCTATAGCATAGCGATCTTTGTCAATACATGTAGCTCATTCTTTTTGATTTTCTTTTGATTGGCTTTATTATTATTTTGTCAATTTCAAACATATATATATATTTTTTGAGAGAATATATATTTAAACTTTTGATAGAAATTGCTCATTACCCTTTAATGTTACCTTCCAAACAACAATGTCCATGTTTACCTGCTTTTTCATACATATATCACCAAATGTTTTATCATTGCTAATTTGGTAGATGAAAGGTAGTACTTTGCTAGTTTTAATTTGCATTTCAATGTTCGTGTACACCTGACTGCTGATACCTGTATCACTACATTTTTTTAATCTTTGCTAATCTGGTAGATGAAAGATAGTATTTCATTCTAGTTTTAATTTGCACTCCGTTATTACAAATGCTCTTAAGTATCTTTTCATATATTAAAAAAAGCATTATTTTAAAGCTTGATTTTATTTTTCTGAAATTTTTTCCCCATTAGCCATTTCTGGAGTTTTTATCCATTACTAAATTCAACAATTCCCCCTGCTAATTTTTTGTCTCTTTTTGACTGTTAATGAAATTTTTGCCATGCAGAAACTTTAAATTTTTACACAAATTATCAGTCTTTTCTTTCATGATTTCCAGGGTTTTGTTGGCTTACTGAGAAAGTCTTTCCTACTCTGAAATTATATATTTTAAATTCCCACATATTTTCCTTCAGTTCTCAAATCCTGTGGGCTCAGGGCTCCTTCACACTCTAAAATTGAAAACCCTAGAGAGCCTTTGTTTGTGTAGATTATATTCATCAATTACTGTATTAGAAAATGAGAAATTTAAAAATATTCATCTCAAAGTAATAATAATAGATCCATTATATAGAAACATAAATGATATTTTTTTATAAAATAACTATTATCCAAAGCAAAAAAAAAGTCAGGAGAATGAAATTGTGTACCATTTTTTTCTTTGTCTAGCTTACTAGACAAAAACTGAATTCTTAAAACTACTTCCACATTGCCTTTTTTGACATGTTTTAGTGGCAGTATATGAGGAAAACCCAACCTCATGCAGATGTGTACTTAGAAAAAGCTGGCATATTCATGACTTTTCAGATGATTGTGAAAATGCTTTTTTGATATTATACTTGATAGTCACACTGTGGCATCTGAAACTGTATCAATGAGCTTTTTGCATTCTGTTATGTTAAAATTTTGGTCTCCTTGCACTTTGAATGCATCTTTTACCAATGCAAGATTTTATACTATCAGGCTGCTTTGGGTGTTTGGAAGATTTTTTTTTTTTTTTAAAGATTTATTTATTTATGCATGCAAGAACTGGGGTACAGGCCAGAGGTGTGGGGTGATGAGAGGATTCACCAGAGACAGAGTGGCGAACAGAACAGGCAGACTGACTGAAATATACTGCTGAGGGGAGCAGTGGGCAAGATAGGAAAGGTCTGCTGTGCCATGTGGGTAGCTTGCCGGCTGGGGATCGACTCGTGCTACATAGGCTGCGGATAGCGTCACAGTGCTGTGCTTCACCCCTTGTGCCACCGGGGAGGCCCTGTTTGGAAAATATTGTTTCCCTGAGTTGTGCAGAACTTCTGAACATTAATATATAATATACAAAAATTACAATAGAATGTTTGTCACTTATCAGAAAAATCCTTTATTAGAAAGCTGTTAAGCTCATGGTGGCAGATATAAGATTTCTGAAATACGGATTATTTAAGCTTGAATTTTATCAGGGGCAGCAAATGCTGTTGGTTAATAGTGACAGGGTTTGTTCATTTATTTTTAAGAAAATGGATATTTTAGAAATGGATATTCCAAATTCCAAGTCTGAATAATTTTCCTCTCAGTTGTTAGTTAAGTAAATGGTGTTCCATGAAAAAAGATACTGACTCAGCTTGCAGTGTTTTCTTGGGACAATTATACTTCAATTTGCAGCAGAAGTGCTTTATGAACATTTTGGTTTTGTCACACAGAATATTAGAGAGCTATATTCTCAAGTGTCAAGATTAAAAAAAAATTATTTACTGCTGTAAGAACATTTTTTTTTTTCCCTTCCCTTAGAGCTGGGGCACAGGCCAGGATGTGGGAGGTGAGAGGATCTACCAGAGACAGAGTAGGGAACAGAACAGGCAGAGTGACCGAAACACACTGCTGAGGGGAGCAGTGGGTAAGACAGGAGAGGTCTGCCTCGCCATGTGGGTTTCTCCCTGGCAGGCCAGGGATCGACTCCGTGCTCCAGAGGCTGCAGACTGCCTCATAGTATGGTGCTTAATCCCTTGCGCCCCCAGGGAGACCCTGTAAGGACATTTTTAAGTGAACTTTTTGTTTTGATTGTTGACTCTGTGGCATGATAAAGTTTGGTATCTGTGGTTCTGCTTTGATTTGTACTGTTGTGCCAGTAGTTTTAGCCACTGTTACTTTTGCACAGCAGTGCAAATGCCGATGCGTTGAAAAAGCAAAAGTTGTACTTATGTTATTACAAAAATAGTGTCAACCCTCATTGATCCCTTGAAAGATATCAGGGACACCCTTTGAGAACTACTGCTTTAGGATTTCATTTTTTATCTTCATGCTTCCTACTAGTCACTACCTCTACTCCCCACCCCTCAAGAGTAATCACTATTGGGGATTAATTTTCCCTATTTCTTACTTAAATTTACCTGAAAATTTTAATCCATTTAGATTTATTTTAGTTTAAGGGATGAGATTGGGTATTAACCTTTTTTTCCCAAATGGCTAATAATCCTTTATTGAATAATTCATCTCCCCATGATATTTGAAGTGCATAATACAGATTTCTGGACATAATAATATTCTATTCTAATAATTAGCCTATTTATGAATATACTAGTATTGTACTCCTTGAAATATATCACTTTATGTTTTATTATCTAACAGGGCTATTCCCCCTTCATTGCACCTTTTCTAAATTTTCCTGGGTTTGAGTTATACTTTCTCTCTGTCTTTGTCTCTGTTGCGCTCTCTCTCTTCTCTCTCTCTCTCTCTCTCTCTCTCTCTCTCTCTCTCTCTCTCTCTCTCACACACACACACACACACACACACACACACACACACACACACTTTTTTGCATAGACTTTTTAAATGTATCATATTAAATTGTAGAGCAGCTTCATACTTCCTCCTTATATGTCATCAATAAATGAGTTAATAATATATATTTAGTAGGGGTCTTTACAAAGAAATGCTTACTAAGTAAGGTTACATAGTGATTAGTTGTGTCCAGAGAGACTCATAGGAAAGTACTCCTGTATTTCCCCTGGGAGCAGCAGTTGATTTTTCACCAGTTGAGCATTGGGGGTAATTTCATAGAACATAACTACCATAAATAAAAAGAATTGATCCTCTTTTTTAGTAGGTGAATACTGGAGTCATAAGAAAGATCATTTTTTGTTGAAAAGATAGATTGTGAGAATATTTGATGCTCATTTGCTTTCCTTAGGACAGCAGCGTTCTCGGATGCTAGCTACTCTTTTTAAGGATGAAAGGTGCCAGCAACTTGCTGCTTATGGGATCCTAGAGAAAATGTACCTAGACAGGATCATCAGAGGAAATCAACTTCAAGAGTTTGCTGCCATGCTGATGCCTCACCAAAAAGCAACAACAGCTGATGGTAATGACCATGTCATATAAGTGTGTAGTAATAAATATTTGATACACATTAATGGGAAGTGTATTAAACTTGAAGCACCTTGATATGGTACTTTATATAACACTTGATATGTAGGGAACATTACATATTGATTGAAGATGAGTATTATACATAGATTTGAATTGGTGCTATAGCAATGGCACTGTTGGAAAGCATTTTGTGGAATAATGTGTTTGTTTTTTCTTGAAACTATAAGGGCAGAAGAATTATGGACTATGCCTATCCTGTCTGGGTTTTTTTTTTTTTTTTTTTTTTTTTTAATCCTGTCTGGTTTTTTAAAAAACTTGAACCATTTGATAAGTACCTTGATTAATCTTTAGTGTCAGTTTATAACAGCATAATTATCTGATTCTATTTTAGACAGAGAAAAATTTGGCACACTAGCTTGCCCAGGGTTATCTGGGGTAAAAGTATTGCCAATAAGAATAGAACCAAGTGTCATGTTTCCTAGTTAAGGGATGTATTTGCTTAAATCACACTGTCTTTTCCAGGAGAGAAGTTTTTAATAGTTGCTTATTCATAGCATCACTTACTTGTTTCTCAATAAGGGTTTTAAAGTAGCTTTTAACAATAGCACATAATAATAAATATATAGACATAGGCCATCAGGAATGTGGAAAACATCATGATAAATAATGCAAATCTATTGGACTTACTGCTGTGGACTCACTGTCGTCCTAGATGGAAGAGAATTTAACCTAGAGTCATCTATGTAAAAGTTGGCTGAAAGGTGTACAATTTAGCCAGTCTCACTACCCCCTCACCCATTCTTGTTGTTCTGAGTTAAATCAGTTATTGAAAGGATAAGGAAGTCAATATATTGACTTCCTCTTGAATTTCTTTACTTTCGTTGAACTTTAAGAACCCAACCAATTCATTCTCACCTTTTTATCTAAAGGAGATACTTTGTCTGTGGGATATTCTTCATGCAGAGCCTCAGAGAAAATTCCTTTATAATTTTAGGATTAGTTGTTATTCCCTTGAGCAGTCTAATTTTATCTTATTTAATTAAACACATTATGAGTTAATAAAACCAATTAGTTTTCTTATTTTGATTAACTGCTCAAAAGCTTAGTATTAAAGGTGTAGCACAACTATAAAAGGTGTATGTGTGTTTAGATTGTTGCTATTCTTGTTGTTTTTCATTTTTACTTCTAAATCTTTGTCTTCTGTGTATTCTGAGTAACTTGAAATTCTTTTTGCAAAAAGATATCTAACAAACAATTTAAAAGCTAGGTAAATATGAAAAGCTTTCCAGAATTGGTATAAACTTCAGATTTGACTTTGAGCCTTCTGGCTGTGAAAAAAAATATGAAAAGATGTAATCTGTTACATCATTTTTTCCTAAAAAAATCATTTTTTCTAAAATTTGGGAATCATGATCTCTGAGGATGCATGATTCCCAAATTTCTCTAATGTGACTATTACATAGGAGAGACAGATGTTTGTTTTCTTACTGTTCCATTTTAGACCTTTCTGCTTTCCTTTTCCTTTCTGTGTATTTTTTTTTGTAATTGACATCACAATGTTAGGCTAGCAATCTTTTTTTTTTTTTAAAGATTTATTTATATATTTATTTGTTTATTTATTTATACAAGCACTGGGTACAGTCAGAAGCACGGGAGGGTGAGAGAATTCACCAGAGCCAGAGCGGGGAGCAGAGCAGGCAGAAGGACCGAAGTACACTGCTGAGGGGAGCAGCAGGCGGCAGGAGAGGTCTGCGCGCCGCGGGACCCTCCTCTGGTGGCTGGGGAGCAGCCGGGGATTGAACTGGCGCCGCAGAGGCTGCGGGCAGCCTCGCAACCCAGCTCTCAACCGCTGCGCCACCGGGGAGGCCCTAGGCTAGCAATCTTGAGATATAAATAACTATTACTGGTTTTAACTGCAATTCAGTGGTTTTTAGTGTATTTCAGGAGTTGCACAACGTTGCTACTAATCTATTTTCTGTTGTATAAGTTTCCTGTTCTGGGCATTTCATACAAATTGAAACATCATAGGACCTTTTGTGACTGACTTTCACTTAGCATAATGTAATCAAGTCTCATCAGTTGTATCATCTATCAGTACTTCATTACTTTTTTCCCCCCAGATAATATTCTGATACATGGATATACCAGATTTTATTTCTTCATTAGTTGATGGGCATTTAGGTTGTTTTCACTTCTGGCTATTAGTAATGCTGATACGAACATTTATGTAAGTTTTCAGCAGATACTGGTTTTTATTCTCATGGGTGTATGCTTAGTGGAATTATTGGATCGTATGGTAACTGTGTGTTTTTTAGTCTTTTAAAAAACTGCCAGACTGTTTTCTAAAGTGGCTGCTCCATTTTATATTCCTCCCAGCTGTGTGTAAGGGTTCCAGTTCTCCATACTCTCTCCTGTATCTGTCCTCTGTCCTTTTGATTTAGCCGTCCTAATGAATATGGAGTGACAGATCTCTTTGTGGTTTTTGATTTACATCTCCCTGGGGGTTAGTGATGTTGAGACACCTTTTTAGGTGTATATTGGCCATTTGTGTGTATTTTTAGAGACATATCTTCAAATGCTTTGCTGGTTTTTAAATTGGGTTATTTTTTTTTAATTGAATTTTAAGAATGTTAAATTGGGGTGTTGGAAAAGTCATGATGTATTTTTTCTGTTTTTCAAGCAAAAATGTGTTATGACTTTTTTTAACCTGTTATTTTCTGGACCTGATTGATCATTATCAAATAAATCATTTTCAACTATTTCTTCCCATTCTGTGTGTCATTTCTTCACTTTTTGCTGGTATCCTTTAAAACACAAATGTTTTCCAACTTAGTGAATTCAAGTTAGCTGTTTTTTACTTTTGTTGCTGTGCTTTCAGTATTTAAAGAAACCATTGCCTAATCCACAGTTATGAAGATTTGCTCTTCTTTTCCTATAAGTTTTGTAGTTGTAGCTCTTAATGTAGGTTTGATTTGAGATAAGGGTCGAACTTTAATTCTTTTGCTTGTGGATATCCTGTTGTACCAGCACCATTTATTGAAAAGATTATTTTCCCATTGCATTATCTTGTAAATGTGAGAGTTCATTTCTAGATGCTTAATTCAATTCCACTATTCCATATGCTGATATAACCCTCTCGGTTGCTGTATCTCCCCACCCACCCCCTTACTTTCATATTTATAATTTACTGACTTAACTTTATAATCAACTTGCAAAAAAAATTGTTATGGTGCTAGAGTAGATTGTAAATATAAACAGTCTAAACATTGTAACAAGAAATAAATAACTGTCAGAAAAAGGAGATAATGATTGAGTTATTTATTATATGCCAAGAAATTCTCAAGAAAAAAGACTGCATCTTTTAAGTGTCAAACAAGTTTCAAACTTACAATTGTCTTATTTATATTTATTTAAGGTTCTAGCATCTTGGACAGAGCTGTTATTGAGCACAACTTGTTGTCTGCAAGCAAATTATATAATAATATTACCTTTGAAGAACTTGGAGCTCTTTTAGAGATCCCTGCAGCTAAGGTATTTTCTTGTTTCCAATACATAAAAAGGAAGTAAGAGACTAAAACTATTGACGTAATGAGAAAATAAAATATATAATTGATAATACTGACAACTGCAACAAAAATACACATAAAAAGCTTCAGGTAAATGGAAATAATTTATTTGAATGTTAAAATAGTCCTGTAATGGAGTTTTCTGTTTTTTGGTTTTTTTAATTGTATCTTATGATAAAGTGACCTAGAGTGGAAATCTTAAAGGGATTTCAAGTTATGACACTTGTTTTGTAAGAATATCTTTGTTTAGTGTCTGTTTAATTATACTTCATGTGTTTTATGACTTCTGACTAATTTAAAATTTTAATACATGTCTTTTTCTGCTCTAGACTGACTTGAAGGTTAAATATTTCATTTCTCTATTTGAGAGAATGGGCTATTCTGTTGTAACTCCTGTGCTTGATTTAATTTAAGAAGTTGACTGACTTATTAAGGAATTTTCATTTTTAGACATGATAAGGGTTTGGTTGGCTATGCGCAAATTCTAGCAAAGTACCAGTAGTACTTAGAGAAGATATTTCAGGTATTATATACAAAACAGTCTCTTAACTTTAACTATATTCAACCTTAATAGTATCTACCTTGCATCCCTTTAAGAAGTCATGTAATATGAATCATATTCCCTTTTATCTGTTAGTGAAATTTTAAGGTAGGATTTTCTAACATAATCCCTTTACTTGTATATTCAGTACATAGTAAAGGAAGTGGAACAATTAGGGAACCAAAGCATAAATTGCCATTAAAAAGATGCTTTCTTTTTAGGCTTTGAGCTATGATTCCTTGCTCAGACTAAGGGAAATGAATGTATTTTTAACAATAAATGCTGTCATGGTTTGTTCAGGAGCCATGGAGGATTGATTGTGAAGATTGTCAGAATTACTGAAATGACTTAAGTCACAACCCAATTTGCTTACACATAGTGAACAAGAAATATGACTTTAGGAGCTAGGCAGAGGACCTTTTGATCCCTTTAATTGTCTTAAATCTTTTTAATTTGCTTTTAAATTTGAGCATCCATTTTTTTCTTTCAATTTTTTCTTCACAATTATTACTTTCCTAAAGGGTTTTTGGGATGATAAACACTGAAAATTGAAGTGAAATAAAATAGGGAAAACTAGTTTTCTTTTTTTGAGGTATAGTTCCCAGTAAGAAGAAAAAAACGTTAGTTTGACTTTGACCAGAGCAAAAAATTGGTAAGAGTGCTAGTCCCACATCTTGCAACAAGAAAAACAGACCCCACTTAACATAATGGATTATACACAAAGAATTGGGGGACAGAATAGGCAGGTTTGTCCTTGAAATGAATGGTAGGTGGCCACATGTGTAAAATTTAGTGTTGGGTAGCTAAATCAAGAGCTTTCAATTCTCATGTGTAAATAACTGTTAGCTATAATCATTCAAATTTCTGAGAATTTATTTATCTATTTTTTTTAAACAGGCAGAAAAGATAGCATCACAAATGATAACAGAAGGACGTATGAATGGATTTATTGATCAGATTGATGGAATAGTTCATTTTGAAAGTAAGAGATTTTGCTTTTTTCTTTCATAATGAAGTGGCAATGAACTGTTGCATAGTTTTGCTTAAGACATGTCACATAATTTCCTTTGACCCAGTCTTCTTAAAGCAGTATTTTCTGTGCTATGGAAAAATTTGAACTGGAATCTTTATATTATTAATTTATTCATCAAACATTTATTGACCACATGCCATGTATCAGACATGTAGACATGCCAGTGGCATTCCCTGTTCAGCAGCTCATTAAACTGACAGAGGCAGACAGATGAAAAAGAAAAGAAAGCCCAGAGACTATTTTTCTAACCTTTTTTTTTTAGTCCTTTGATTTTCTTAGTGTCTGATACCTCCTCAAGCCCTATTCATGCCACATTTGCACTCTGGACCTTGCTGTACCCAAAAACTATTCCAAAAGTAAAATTTTCACTTTGAAATATCCAACTCTACTGTAAGCTTTTTCCTGTTTTTGTAGTGGTTTCTCTCTTTTTTAAAAAAATATTTATTTATTTATGCATACAGAAACTGGGAAACAGGTCAGAGCTGTGGGGGGAGGTGAAAGGATTCACCAGAGACAGAGTGGGGAATAGAACAGACAGACTGAGTGAAATACACTGCTGAGGAGAGCAGCGGGTGAGACTGGGAGAGGTCCGCTGTGCCATGTGGGTTATCTCGCTGGCTGGGGATTGAACTCTTGCTTTGGTGGTTTCCAATAGCTTCCTAGTGCTGAGACTTAACCACTTGTGCCACCAGGAAGCCCCTTATCCCCCTATCTTGATGTCTGTCATTTCCTTCACCCTGTTCTGCTTTCCCTTCTATTTCTCGAGGCTTACTTCCCAATCGCCTTTATTGATTCTGTAGTCCCTTTAAATTTAAATATTGGTATTGCTAAATGTTTTTTACGAGGCCTTTTTCTCCTCGGTCTACTGTTTCCCTTGGTAATCTCATTCCTATTGATTCAGTTACTATCTTATGCAGACAGTGCTTAGATTTCCCTGTCGTAAATTTTTCTTCTGAGTTCCAGGCCCAGTGGTTCTAATTGCTTACTCAGTTTCTACCTGATATTTTGTGAGCATCTGGAGTGCACGTATTCCAGACTGAACTCATCATCTCCCTCCCCCCCGCCTCACAACCAGCAAACCAACTGGCCATCCAAACACTGCAATGGTCACTTTGTCTCGCCTTCCTGATCCTTGATCCCTTCTCTTCTTCATTGTTCAGAATCCTTTGGAATGGAAGGAAATTGTAGGAAACATAGTTTTGCCCTAAAATCCAAATCCAAATCCTTTGGAATCCATATGCTTTTATTATTATTGTTGTTGTTATTTTTTCATTTCTTATTGACTGTCATCAGCCTATCCTGAATCACCCCCCAAGCTCATCTGGGTCTAACAAATAGCTCTCTACGCATCTTCTATTTTTCTCCATATCTTAATTTGAATAATGCTGATCTATAATGATTTTCCTAACTCCCTGGTTAGTTATGGCTTTATGTTATATGTTCTTATGTCACCCCACATTTTCCCTGGTATTAATCATAAGTACTTTCATTTCTGTAACCATTTGTCTAAATGTCTGTTTCTGCTTCCAAGCTAAGTTTCCTGGTGATAGATATTGAATCTTGTTCTCAATATAGTATATCCAACATCTGTTTCAGTGCTGCACACATTATAAGTGGGAAATAAATATGTATTGAATAAGTGAACATAGTATATTATGTCACCAGGTTGAAGGAAAACTAAAATTAATGTATACCAACTTAATAGAGTATGAAATATTTTATTTTTCTTAGACTTAAAAAAATTCATGATAAATGTATTTATAACAACAAGTAAAGCACTTCTCTAATCCTCCCTCCCTGGCAAGACTAATATTAATTTACAGGCTATATGTCTTTCTATGTGCTTATGCAGATAGGAAAGCAGAGGTTTTTTTCAAAAGTGGTATTATATTTTAAAGTACCTAGTGTTCAGCAAATTGATTTTTACATTTAATGTACCCATAGATACATTTTCAAGTCAGTAGATATCTAATTTATTTAATAACTGCATAATATTTCATGGAGTTCAAGTATTCACCTACTGGTGCATAGTCAGGTTGTTTCTTTGTGCATATCTCTATATACTAGCACATTTATTTCTGTAGAACAAATTCTCAAAAGTAATATTGTTGTATCCGAGGATATAGCTATTTTGATTCTTAATCGATACTACCAGTTTACCTTTTTTTTTTTAAAGGTTTATTTATTTATTTATTTATTTATTTATTTATTTATTTATTTATACAAGCACTGGGTACAGTCAGAAGCGTGGGAGGGCGAGAGAATTCACCAGAGTCAGAGCAGAGAGCAGAAAAGGCAGACTGACAAGCACAAAGCTGAGGGGAGTAGTGGGCATAGCAGGAGAGGTCTGCGTGCCAAGTGGGACCCTCGCCGGTGGCCGGGGATCGAACCGGCGCTGCAGAGGCTGCGGGCAGCTTCGCAGCCCAGCGCTCCAGGAGGCCCCTACTTTTTTTTTAAAAAGATTTATTTATTTATGCATACAAGAGCTGGGGTGTAGGCCAGAGGTGCTGGGAGGGGGAGCGGTGAAAGGATTCACCAGAGACAGAGTGGGGAGCCGAACAGGCAGATTGACTGAAATATACTGCTGAGGGGAGCAGTGGGCAAGACAGGAAAGGTCTGCTGCGCCCTGTGGGTCAGCTCCCTGGCCAGGATAGCTTCTGTGGATAGCTTCATAGTGCTGAGACTTAACCCCTGTGCCACTCCCAGTTTACTTTCCAGAAAAAGTATTTATACTTTACCAGTATGACAGAATGAATCGTCAACAGCTAGATATTACTCCCTTTTTTAAATTTTTTTCAATTGATGGGGAAAATACTACATTTTATTATAATGTGCATTTCCTTGAGATTAGTGAAATTTAGTATCTTTTCTTGTATTAACCATTAGCATTTCTTCTATGAGTTGATTTTACTTTTTATTATACTTTCCCAATTCCTCTTCTTCAGACTTCCCAATATCAGTTTGCTATAGCTTTTGGTTGAATGGTTACTTAACTGTGTTTGCTGTATGTGTTACAGATATTTTTCCCTTTCTGTCAGTTGTGTTTCCTGTAGTCAGTGCATACTACACACACAGTAGCATTTTTCGTATTGTCAGATATAGCAGTGTTTAATTTATGACTTTTGATTTTCCTATGTATTAAGAAGGTGTTCTGCATTTTAGGGTAAAATTAATTTTCCTACAATTCCTTTTATACTTTTATTTATTATTTTGTATTAAGAAATTTTATGTGACCTAGTCAGATAAAATTACCTAGTTCTGAAACAAATATCACATGTAGTGATATTTAGTCTGTTCATTTTTGTGTATAATTTTAAGGTATGGTTTACTTGTTTTGTTTTTTTTCAAAGATGAGTAACCAGTTATGCAAATATAATTTATGAAATGAAATATCCTTTCTGACCTTTGAGATCATTAAGGTTCTGCATATAATCATACAGGGCGCACATATCTGTATATTATTTGGATTATTTGGTTCCACTGATCTGAAACAATATGGTAATAAACAAATTTATAATGAATTTTATTGTAGTAAACCAGCTCCTACCCTCTACTATTTTATCATTGAGTTGAAATTCACAAAACATGGTTAATTATAAAATGAACACAATTCAGTGATATTTAGTATGTTCACAAGGTTGTACAAACACCGCTTCTGCCAAGTTCCAAATCATTTTAATCTGCTCAAAAGGAAATCCTGTATCTGTTAAGCAGTTACTTCTGATTTCACCTTCTGCTCAGCCCCTGACACCTGAAATCTGTCTCTGGATTTATCTATTCTGGATATTTCACATAATGGAATTATTTAATATGTGACTTTTGACTTCTTTCACTTAATATATGTAGTGCTTTTAGGTTTCATTCATGTTTTAGCATGTAACCATTTCTTCATTCCTTTTTAAGATTGAGTAATATTATTGCACTGGATAGATATTATACCACAATCCTGCTGCTATTTTAATATTTTAAAAATTATTTTGACTATTCTCAAACATCAATTTTTCCATATGACTTTGTCTCTTTTAGAAAAGCAAAACAGAAAAAAGGGAAATGGTCTTTGGAATTTCTTAAAATGTATACATTTGTAGGAGAGAAGCAATTTTTTTGATACTGTATTTTTCATTTTGGCAATGTGATTTATGTCCACCGAGGTTATTTTTTGTACTTTATTAAGATTTTATATTTTTTCCCTTCTTTAATTCTGCACCCATATTTATTTATTTATTTTAGATTTATTTATTTATTTATACAAGCACTGGGTACAGTCAGAAGCACGGGAGGGTGAGAAAATTCACCACAGACAGAGCGGGGAACAGAACAGGCAGACTGACAAAGAAATACACTGCTGAGGGGAGCAGCGGGCGCGGCAGGAGAGGTCTGTGCACCATGTGGGACCCTCGCCAGTGACGGGGGATCAAACTGGCGCTGCAGAGGCTGCGGGCAGCTTCGCAGCCCAGCGCTCAACCGCAGCGCCACCAGGGGAGGCCCTGTGCCCATTTTAAAAAATTTGGTGCTGTTTTGTTTGGATTTCTACCCCCTTCTCCTCAGTCTATCATTTTTAAGTACATGTTGCTGATGTATTCATGATGAGTTTTTTTGTTTTCATTGAAAATATTTACCTTCAGATATTAAAATATTTACCTTCAGAATCGAGTAGACAGCCTTAAATATATAAATAGATTTGCTTCCCCCAGTAGGTGGCAGTGTCTTATGAATCAGTGAACACTGGTGATGAGACAGTTGACTCTTACTGTGGTGGTGGTTGTGGTTTAAGTTGTTTGGTTGGTTTTATTTTGTTATCAAACACAGTAATAATAATAAGTATCTCTGTGTGTGTGTGTGTGTGTATAAATGTATGTATGTTTGTTTGTTTTTTTTTTTTATATTTTGTGCCAGTGATTTAGGTATTTTTCTTAACAATTACTTATTTGCCAAGATTTTTGGAATAAAATTAAAAAAATTAATACTACTCTGTGTTTTAACTCACATTTGCTATAAATGAAAAGGAGTAATTTTAGCTTTGTATATTGTTCCTTTTTTCTTTAGCACGAGAAGCCCTGCCAACATGGGACAAACAGATTCAATCTCTTTGTTTCCAAGTGAATAATCTTTTGGAGAAAATTAGTCAAACGGCACCAGAATGGACAGCACAAGCCATGGAAGCCCAGATGGCTCAGTGAATCCTCGCAGAGCTTCTGTGTACACTATATCTTTTTCCATGTTGTACAGATTAATTTCACTTGCTCCAAAGCATTTGCATCTTGACCTTCCGTATTTCAATCCCTTTTATGCTGGGTCCCTTTAAAGAAAACTTATTAGAGCAGGAAGTACAGCATTTAAAAATACGTAGTTCTCATATATTCAGGGTCTCAGTGTATCAAGCTAACTCAGATGTTTTGAAAATTTTTTCTTTAAACTGAGTAAGTGAAATATCTGTGGCTAAAAGTTTGGGATTTGTGATAACTTTGTAGTCATGTAAAATTTAAGTGCTTTGTGCCTCTCCAAATGTGGTTATTCTAATAAATGGAGAAATGAGCCAAATAAAAGTAGTACTGTTTTTAATTAGTAAACAGTGCTTTGTTCCTTTTTTCCTTTCAGTTCAGTGGATGTTGATTTTTACTGTATGCTGGAAATGTCAAGATGGGCCATAATACCTAGAATCACATAGCCAGTAGACAGTATGTATAAAACTTGTAGTTATACCAAATACTAGAGCACACAGGGAAGAGCTTTTCATTTAGAGATCAGGAAAGGTTCCTTAGGGTTATTTCAGCCTAGTTTTGTAGAGAAAATGGGGAAAGGAGTTTTTTTAAAAGTTTGTGGGTGACTTCCAGCATGTAAGAGCTTAGAATCATTACTCCATCCTCACAACAAGGAAAGAGCTGAACAGGCCCGAAGCCAATAGATTCTCTTAGATTTACCAGAAAATTGAGGTCACAGAGCCAACCACTATAAAACAGGAGAGACAAATAGAATCACAGTTGAGATCATTTTACTGAGAGCGGAAACTGGTGGAGCAGTGATGGGTATGAACAGTAAAAAGGTAACTTTAACAAATTCCTGAGGCTGAATGTGAACCCACTTGAAAGTTAAAATCCCCCAGGACCCACTCTTTGGGAAGCCCTCCTACTTTATAGAATATATCCTCAGGAACCTTGCCAGGGTCTTTTGAATATAATCAAGGATCCGCTTGTGTTTCAGGCAGGGCAGGGGAGGGCAGGGGAGAATCACTATTCTGAAATACACTCAAGGGAAGAGTACTTATTTCAAAATATATCAGGACCATTTTCTATGACAAAGGCCTGTCCTCCAAGCAAAACTACTTTGCCAGCGCCCTATCTGACCTGGAGAAAAGACAGGACCCTGTCTTTTCAACCCCCTTTAACCTTATAAAAGGAGGGAAAAAAGGTAAGACACACCTGAAGGTCACAGCCCAGGGACTCAGGTCAACTAAAAATCAGGTATAAAGATAAGATATAAAGTTGAATGCTCCCTGTATACCATATCAATAGGGCTATTGTATTATGTCAGTGGGCTGTGACTGAGAGCTGAAAACACTGTAACTGGGAAGAAGAAAAACAAGGAAAATAGAGGAAACAAGCCTCTGATACTGCTTAAGCAAATAATAAATACAGCCCAGCTCCTACCCAGATTAACATAAAATCTTACGTAAAAGCCTAATTATCTCAGTTCCTGTGATAAGAGACATCATATCTGGCTTTCAACCAAAAAACTACGAAGCATGATAAAAAGCTAGAAATTGCATTTTTTGGAGTACATATTTGTGGCAGGTTTTCTGATAATAATTAGGTGTCATATCAGAGGCATAATGGAAAATTTAGATACTTTGGGCCCTCCTTGGTGGCACAGCACATTGAGCGCAGCACTGTGAAGCTGTCTGCAGTCTCTGCAGCGCGGGTTCGATTCCCGGCTGGCCAGGGAGGTTCCCACGTGGCGTGGCAGACCTCTGCTGTCTGGCCCGCTGTTCCCCTCAGCCGTGTATTTTGGTCATCTTCCTGTTCTGCTCCCTGCTCTGTCTCTGGTGAATCCTCTCACCCTCCTGCGCCTCTGGCCTGTAGCCTAGCTCTTGTATAAAAATAAATAAATCTTTTTAAAAAAATTTAGATACTTTGTGTGGAACCAAGCATAAGTATTCTTAGCCATTGCTTTGTCATTTTGTGTGTAACTGCCATTTTAGAATTTCAGGTCTTGCTGTCCTGGGAAAAGACTGCATTCCAGAGTTCGACCCCCACCCCACTCTGGTCTTATCTCAGTCAGCTAGCCATAGCAGAGCCGAGCAATTCAGGCCACTAATAGGGTCAAACTAGCCATAAAATAGAGCTGCATCTTGATGTGACCAATCAGCTCAAAAACTGAAACTGTGCACCCACCGTTGTTAGGAAATGCACCTGTGTAACCAATGAATGTTTGCCAACATGATTTAATTTTCAGAGATCTGCTTGTAACACTATGTAAGATCCCTGTTCCCTTTGTTCAGGGCTCCCGACCTCCACCGTTACATCGGTGCGTGTCGTGGGCCGGGACTCGAGCCCGTAATAAACTCCTTTATGCTCTTGCAGCAGCTGTCTGTGCGTCCTTGGGGGCTGCACTGGTCGACGCTGGGCACAACATTTTGGGGGCTCGTCCGGGATAGACGAGTGCAGACCCCAACTACCAAGCAACCGAAAGGAGTCTCAAAGCGCGCAGGTGGATGTCAACACTCACCCAGATGAGGTGTTAGTCTGCAGACCTGTAGTACTGAGTACCTGTATGTGTATTGTTTGTGGAGGTGTAATTGTTTGCAAACCTGTGATTTTGGTAACCAGAGGGCTTAAGCGGACTTGCTGGCAGGTCCCTGGCATGGACCGCAGGAGACATCCCCGGACCACCTGGTAGAAAACCCTCACCCTATGTGGGGGAGCAGATTCCCCTTTGTGGGGCCTTTTGAAGAATTTGTTTTTGGTTCGTTTCTTGTGTTTGGTATTCTCAAAACTTTGGTGTTTGTCTTTACCCAGGGACCTCTGATTGGTTATCTGTACCCCCTGTGGGGCACCACTGGGGGCAGGTTCCCCTTTTGGGGAAAGTTCAAAAAAAGAGCTAATTTTGTTTTGTTCCTGGTGCTTGTTGTCCTTGTGTTTGTGTGTTCGTAATCATGGGCCAGGCAATGCCTACTCCACTGTCTTTGGTCACAGTCAAGGCTAAAAGTAAAATGCTGGGGACTAAAAAGCCACTAAGAGACTGCCTCTGATCCCAACGAGCAGCTGCCTGGACATTTTCTCCAGTGTTGAGATCATTGGTATGTCTCTGCTACCTTCCAGCTGTGGGGGAATTAGACTCTCCCTTTGTTCACCTTTAAAAAAAAAACAAAAAACTGCTGTGTTACTTTGCACTTGCTAACTGAAAGGTTTGGTGTGGTAAAGAAAAGGAGAGCCAGGCTGAATTTCTCAAGGGAGAGGAAAATTTATTGCACCCCAGGCAGACCTCACGGACCCAAGGTGGGGGTTAGCGAAGCCACGTATGGCGGGGAAAAGTTTATAGGGCTGAGGGAGTTTCTTTGTCTGGAAAAAATAAATAAATAAATAAAAAATGATAGGGAGGGGGAGGGTTCATTGAATCCTCTAGGCAGGCTTCCGCATTCCTGTTCACAGGTGGAATTCCTGGAAGACTTTTGCATTTCAGCCTCCTGCATGGACCTTTCACTAACGAGCTATAAAAGGTGATTTTCGGTTGAGTAAAAACTTATAAGTTGCTTATTGGACCTGTAAAAGTTTAGTTTCTTATTAAGACTAATTAATTTCTGATAAGAATCTGAAAACAGGCAAACTGTAAAGGAAGATCTTATTCTTCCTCTTCTCCTGTCCTCCCCATACAAGGTTCTGAAAAGGAAAAAATTGTCTTTTGTCTTAAAAATGTGCTTGGTCTCAGTGAGACAGAACTAAAACAATGTAAAGCCAAATAATAATTACTTAAAAATACGAACTCAAAATGTTTTTCTTATTTAAGAAAGTTAGTACAAACTGCTTAACTTTAAAGTCTCATATGTTTTGTGTTGATGCAGCTGATGGCAAAACCTATTTAGAACAGGCAGGTTTGCGGGGTCTGGACTCACCTCTCCCTGCCCTGTAACATATCTAGTGCTTGCCTAAGGAAAAAAACTTGGTATATAAAATTGTTACAGTGGCAACTCTGAAGTTGACTTAAAATTCCAATTCTAAGGAAAAACTAAAACTAAACTAAGGTTTTGCTAAGTTTAGTAATAAAAATTTGCTAACCATTTACTGAACTTTCAGGTTTACATTTTGTTCCTAATTGTAAGGAAACTAAAGTTTAATGTCATCTCAACTAAAAAAAAAATTTTAATTAAAAATGTGTCTAAGTTGTACAATCTAAAGAGATGATAAACAGCTATTATGGTGTCTTACAATGCAGAGATTAAAAGCTAGGATGTAATAATTCTGAATACAAGTAAAGTAAAGGTAGTGTCTTATACTGTTGTGTGTGTTTTAACTTCTTTCCCAGGAGTCCTGTATCTCTGTATTTTGGCCTTGACTCTATAAACTGTATAATGTTGTAATTGTTTTTAATAGTCTAGACTCTGGTTAAAAATTAGTATAAAAATTTTAGCTTCTTAAGTAAATTTAAAAAATTTCAGTTTTGTATTTTATGAAATCCCTTGCCTTTTTGGTAGTGCATTGCTGGATTTTGGCAATTGCCTATTCATTGCTTGGTTGAAAAAAACCAACTATTTTATCCCATGTGCCCCTGGCAAAGAGGTGTTATATGCAAAAGTGTGTATGTGGGAAATAGTAGCATTTTAGACACAGGACTGGTAAACAAGGTAAAGTAAAATGATTTATATCAAACACCTGTTTTATAGTTAATGCCAGGAATGGTGAAAAACTAGTTAGCTTCTTCACAAAAGAGGCAGCATGATAACTTTTGTGTTTCCTATATTTTTCTCTGCAGTATTATATGTAGACACTGTGTGAGAAAAATGTTATAATGTTTAATTGTTCAGAATTGGGAAAATATTATTCACTGTTTTGGTGTCACTTAATATCCAAGTGGTCTCTAGTCTCTATTTTATAGAGACTGTATAAAACCTATAGAAATGCATGATTAGAATATGTATGTTTTAGCCAGCCTTGTTCTGACGTCAGGCGCAGGCTCCGGAGACTAAATTAAGGACCTAAAATCCTTTTAACACTTTTATTGGACACGGCCTTCAGTAATATGGAGGGGACTAGCTAGACTAAAAAGAAAGGGAGAGAGGCAACAAAAGGGCCCAGTAGATAGCAGTTGCCATCACAGTGCTCTGCCACCTCAGACTCACCCCAGGCCCCATGCGCCCTAGGGCATTCGGGACCTCAACCTCTCAATGGGCTGCCAGCTTGCATCCACTGCCAGCAACCAGGATACCTCAGCTGCAAGAAGCTGTCCCCAGGGCCATGCCTTCAGTGCCTTCGTACAGGGCACTGAAAAGAGGGACTGTCCCACTCTCCAGAGAGGGAGGGGGCCAGCCCAAACCATGGGCCAGGATGGGAGGACAGGCTTGACGGTCAGCT